TAAAGTTTAAGGCATGTCCCACAAGATGGAAGAGCCCCATAGAGTTAGCACGGTAAACAGTGGACATGTTTTTGGAGTGAAAATAACAGCGTGATAGCACTTAGTGTATGGTCTGTGTTGGTTTTGCATTTCATTATATCCCTACTGCTTTTCTGCAGGATCTAGCACATGAAAGTGTTCCTCAGAGACACGAACTGTTAAGCACTTAGCTACTAACAAAGCAGTTGGTGGTTCGAGCTTATCCTAAGATACCTCGAAAGACAGAACTAGCGCTCTAGTTCCAAAAGGGTGCAACCATGAAAACCCTGCGGGATGCCATCTATTCTACAATAAATATAGGGTCACCGTGAGTTGAAATCAACTCACCAGCAACTGGCTTGGTTTTGGTTTAATTCATAAAAGCAGTCAGTAAGCATATGTTTAAGAAATGAGTGATAGTTTGAAAAGCCAACATGAGGGAAACATGTTGATCACTTTACAAAACCACTACTGTGGCAGTTACATAATCTCCTGTCAACTTGAGTGAAGGGGGGTGGAGTCTAGCCTGTCCATCAGATCATAGCCATTGGTGCCTCTGGGTGGGCCTGGCCTTCTCCTGAGGATTCTGGGACGTCCTGTCTTCCTTCTTGGAGGTGGGACACAGTCTCCCTGTAAAACATTCCTGTTGACAAGACACATGGAGCCACGCTGATGGAACCAGAGTCATGGAGCTGGAGGAGGCAAGTGGAGCCCCACGCCAGTGCTGACATGCTTCCACCACCACTGGATCCACAAGACTTTCCATCCATTAGCCTGTGATCTTCCTGCATTCAGCATCATTCCTTGTGTTGTGTGAGTCTGAAGAGGAATTTATAGCCTGATATCGGACATATGGGTTAATATCAGATTTAAGGACTTGATCTGGGCTGAGCTGGGATGTTTTCTCAATAAACAATTGCTCTGTGTTATAAAGTTCTCTTACACATTTATGAGTGTCAATGAATTTGTTTCTCTACTCGGACTAACACAACTACTAGCTATTTCAGGAGAAAGATGGATCTTTCTACTCCTGTAGAAACCATTTACTCCTGGAAACAGTGACCGTCTCAGAAACTCACAGGGGCAGTTCTGCCCTATCTTAGAGGGTCATTATGAGTGGGCATCAACTCAGTGGCAGTGAGTGAGTAGCTTATTTACAATGGGCAGATACCCCTCAGGGTTATTGTCATTTGTAGCTTGGATTAGCCGCAACAGTGATTAATAGATACAAGTCTTTTCAAATCTGTACAAAGGTATGAGAAGCTTTCATTAGAATAGATAAACAGTCTGGAATGACATAGAAACCCTTTTTTAAGGAAAAAAATCTCTCTGCGTGCTCTACGAAGGATCTCTGAATTTTGTCCTTTAGTAGAATTTGCCTCATAGCCAGAGCCACTTCTCTGTGTATGTTACAGAAGCCTAAATGATTTCTTTGCCATGATGAAAATAGATTATAAAAACTATAGTAAAAAATATATATATAGTAGTTGGCCTCTGTTCCCGTGTCTGTCTTCCAATCAAAAAGAAGTCAAATTGATATTTTGTGTAGTTTTAGGAGTTTGTGTGCATCTACTGCTCACTAGATCGTTATCCTACAATCTGCATTTATGATAGTAATGAAAAATCTCTGATCCACTTAACAAATTATAGCATCCATTGGGCTATGATTCTCAGTGATTTATCCGTTAGGTAATGAAGTAACTTGGCATTTGTAGTGGAGTACTCAGTCCACCATTTTGTATTCTGATATAGTCGTTTTCCATTTTTGTGTAATGCTATTTTTTAACATAATGACTTGGTCTTTGGAAACTAGGCAGGTTGGTAAGTAAAGAGTGGGTGCATATACATAAATATGTATAAATACACATCTATACACACATAAATTTATATTCATAGTCACACATATATACATTCATGCTACATAAGTAAAAATAAAGGATCATTGCAATTCTATAGGTAGTTAACTATCGTGGAGCCCAAGATAACTTTCAGAATTTTGGAGGGAAAGCATTAATTTGTATTATTTGTGTTTCTCTTCTTAGTTTCTGCCACTGCCTTCTACAAAGCACAGCCTGTAATTCAATTTATGTGTGAAGTTCTTGACATTCACAACATTGATGAGCAACCGAGACCTCTGACTGACTCTCATCGGGTAAAGTTCACCAAAGAGATAAAAGGTGAATTAATTAGCATTTGGAACAACTTAACTATAAAATGCATGGTGATAACATACTTGTATTAAAATATTTCCTTGTAATTAAAACCTGTTCACATAATATCACCAGTAAAAATGTAAACTAATTATAAAATGTTACATTAAATTCATAAATATAACACATAATGTTTGAATGAAATAAATGCTAAGTGATAGAATGAGAATGGTGAATTTTTTAGAACCGTTTTCCTTACTCGGGCTGGCCCTGGTGGGGTAGTGAGTTGTATGTTTGTTGGCTGCTAACTGCAAGCACCAGCCGATCCTCGAGAGAAAGATGAGGCTTTCAACTCCCATAAAGGCTCACAGTCTCAGAATCACTCGGGGGCAGTTCTACCCTGTCCTGTAGGGTGGGTGAGAGTCGGCATGGACTCTGGCACAGGGAGTTTTTGAGTTTGTCCTTATTAGCTGAAGGAACAAGTGTCTCGCAGAAAATTGCTTCTGTACTGCTGTTAAAAGTAAGAGGCATATTCCCAAAGCATTGTTATTTCTGAACTAGAATCATTCTTTGAACATATTTTAATATAGTGACTTCTTTGTCTGAAATGATGGTCTTATTTATTTTATCCTTTTGAAAATGTAGCCTGCTCCATGTGTTACTCTGAATTTGGAACTTAATGTATATTATAGAGATAACTATTAATGTTGTATATTTGGTTGTTAAAGTTTGTACAATGGTGTCGCATCATATATACTTAAATCTATATATGATCTCTGGAAAAAAGTAATATTCAAGAAGTTACAGTTTATACATATTTACTCTTTATATATGTGTACATTTGTCTCTATACTTAGAGCATTTAGTTTATATTCAAACCCACATATACTGTCTTTACTTCAATTTAAAAGATTTTTCAAAGTTAATTATTTTTTCTTTTTTTTCTTAAATCATTTTATTGGGGGCCTATACAACTCTTATCACAATCCATACTTCCATCCATTGTGTCAAGCACATTT